TGTCTGCCTGTGTGTCTGACCTGTCGCTCTCCTGTGTGCAGAAGGAGAATGGAAAGCTGGCAGCAATCTTCTCAAAGTCCTCCAGTGCAATGTAGCCATCCAGGTTGTGGTCGTAGTTCTTCATGATGGACTGTAGGGGGCGACAGACACACAGGCAATGAGAGATGCCTGCAGGTTCACAGGTGAAGGCAAACTTCCAGTAAAATAAGTAAATAAACAAATGTCAGTTAAATCAGGAAGAAACCAGTCAGGCTTTGCCGTGTGGCTGTTCAGAGCTCTAGACGAATTTATGCCTGTAAATCCATTCATCACTCCACAGCTCCCAGCTGGCAGCCCACTGGAGCTCAGCAGGTGTGAGCCTGTCCAGTACCTGGATGGGAGACTCCTGGGAAAAACTGCTGCTGGAAGAGGTGTTATAGGAACCAGCAGGGGGCGCTCACCCTGTGGTCTGTGTGGGTCCTAATGCCCCAGTATAGTGACGGAGACACTATACTGTAAAATAAAGTGCCGTCCTTCAGATGACACGTAAAACTGAGGTCTTGACTCTCTGAGGGAATTAAAAATCCCAGGGCATTAGGGTGGTAAATCACCCTGGTGTCCTGGCCAAATTTCCCCCTGGCCTTTACCAGTCATGGCCTCCTATTAATCCCCATCTCTGAACTGGCTTCATCACTCTGCTCTCCTCCCACTGAGAGCTGGTGTGTGGGGGGAGTACTGGTGCACTATGGCTGCCGTCACATCATCCAGGTGGGGGTACACAGTGGTGGGGCTGGAGGGGATCCCCATTACTGTAAAGCGCTCTGAGTGGAGTGTCCAGAGAAGCGCTATACAAGTGTAAGCCATTGTTGTTAAGCATTTTAACAGGGAAAAATATATTGAACCTAAAAAATGTCAAATCAGAATGAGAGCGTCCTTACGTCAACCATCTGTTTGACGTGCTTGGAGATGGTGGCGGGGTCGAGGCGGGGGGCCACCCCGGACGCCCAGTCTGCTATCATTGGGGGCTTCACTGGGGTGACAGACTGGAGAGCAGGCCGAGGGAGGAAGAGAGGGTGGGGGAGAGAGAGAGACAGAGAGCACATGACGTGATCACATCACACTGTTTTTTATGACTGTGTATCCCAGCTGCGTTACAATGTACTGGGTTTTCTAAGGAGCCTAGGAAGCCAGCAGGATTTTTAAAGCAGCTGTTTTGTATGTCGGCCTCATTACGTTGTTTGGATACGAACACCCTGTACTCTGTTTCTCTTGCATCCTGTACACTGCTGTGTACGGAGCTCGACTGTCAATAATTCCTGCTCTATAGTGTTGAACCATAGTGTGTATCACTCTCCTCTGTGCAATGGTGTGTTGTGGGGCGCTGTGCTGTACCAGGTTATACTCTGGTGTACTACACAGTGCTGTGTTACACTATACTGTGTGGAGCTACTCTGTGTTGTAGTATGTTGAGCTGCATTATACAGTGCTTTTCCATTGTGCTGTACTGTACTGTATGGTACCTTGTTTCATTGTGCAGTACTATACCGTCTGTCCTATGCTACGCTGTTTTTAAAGGTGTCTGAGCTTCCCTCTTCTGTACTGGGTTATACTGTTCTATACTGTACTGTTCTATGCTGCATTGGGTTGCACTGTGCTGTTCTGTCCTGCATTGTATCATAGCGCAGTATATGGGGTTGTACTGTACAATACCATGCTGTAATGTCCTGTGTTGTGGTCTCTTTCGCACCTGTAATTTAGGGTTCTTGGGTTCCTTGGCATAGGAGAGCTCGTAGATCTCATCCTCTGTGTAGTACAGGTCTAGAGACAGCTGGGGACACACAAGGTCACACAGTGTCAGGCTGGGTCACAGAGCACACTCACACTCCTCCCTTTCTCTCTTTCTCCATTCTCCCTGAGTCAGCCTGTGCTGTACAGACTCCTCCCTCCCTCTGTCTCCCTTCCCTCCGCACACTCCTCTCAATTCAATTCAATTCAAGGTGCTTTATTAGCCTGACCGATGGGTACAATCAGTGTTGCCAAAGCAAATAAAAATAATAAAATTACCACGAAACAAAACAAAAATAAAAGTAAACTGAAATCTACAGACATAGATTTCTCTCTCTCCCTTCCCTCTCTCCTTCCCTCCATACACTCCTCTCTCTCCCTTCCCTCGCTCTCTTCTTCCTCCACACACTCCTCTCTCTCTCCCTTTCCTCCACATACTCCTCTGTCTCTCTCGTTCCTGTCCCTCTGTCCCAGTCAGTTCCTGTGACTCTATCCCAGTCCATTCCTCTCCCTCTGTCCCAGTCTGTTCCTGTCTCTCTGTCCCAGTCTATTCCCGTCCGTCTGTCCCAGTCTCTTCCCGTCCCTCTTTTCCAGTCTGTTCCTTTCCATCTGTCCCAGTCTGTTCCTTTCCATCTGTCCCAGTCTGTTCCTGTCCCTCTCTCCCAGTCTGTTCCTGTCCCTCTCTCCCAGTCTGTTCCTGTCCCTCCCTCTCACCGTGAGCAGGTGCAGCAGGTCCTTGTTGGCCTGGAAGGGTGGGTGGTGATTCTGGATGGCCAGCAGCTCACTGATGTTGCTGTACAGGTGCTGCATCTTGCTGAGGTTGATCTTGTTGTCCTCCAGGTAGTCGGGCAGGGCCTCGTGCAGGGACACCAGGTCCTTCAGGTGGACCCCCAGGATGGGCATCTTGAAGCCCACACAGTCACTGTACACCCGCCGGTAAGTGCCGTAGTTACTGCTGGACGACAGCAGCTCCGTCAGCTCGTTCAGGGTCTGGGGCGGACAGAGGGCAGACAGAGGCAGGGAGAGAAAAGAGTCAAGAAGGAAAAAAGTCCAATTTGGGTTAGAAACAGGGGATGAATATGGGTGTAGAACAGCTCTAGAACAACAGAGACATCACTCTAGAACAGCAACCCACCCAGAGTCTGGATCACTAGGGTGCCTTGCTCTACCCTGATCCTTCTTCTAGAGCCACCTGTTGTTGTTTTGCTATCTGAGGTTGTACCCGTTTGTCGAAGCTCAGATCTGTTTCTGGAGGCTCCTGTTCCAGAACGCCATGTTCTACAATCCTATATGTGGGTGAGAAGATTCCCGTTCTAGAATACTGCGCGTGAGCAGCGCAGAGCTGTGTGTGGGCAAGGAGGGCTTGTGTTCAAGAGTGCTTCGTGTCTGTGGAGCAGCTGCCTGTGCCGCAGTTCCTGTCCGAGACCAGGGTGTCCCAGTGTCTGACCTTGGTGACGTCCTGGGGCAGCAGGCTGGCCGTGTCCTTGAGGCGCGAGATGGAGCTGTGACACAGCCCCCCCGTCACTGCCATCAGCGTGCTGAAGTTCTGGAGAGCCCGCAGCTTCTGCACAACACAGAGAGACGCAGCTGGAGGAGGGAGAGGCCCCGATCGTGCCAGAACAAGGAGGCTGTGTGGTGTGTGAGTTTGAGCGTGAGTATGAGTGTGAGTGTGAGAGAGTGTGTGTAAGTGTGTGAGAGTGTGAGTGTGAGTGTGAGTGGGGATAGTGTGAGTGAGTGTGTGAGTGTGAGTATGTGAGTGTGAGTGTGTAAGTGTGAGTATGTGAGTGTGAGTGTGTGAGTGGGGAGAGTGTGAGTATGTGAGTGTGAGTGTGAGAGTGTGACTGTGAGTGTGAGTGTGAGAGTGAGAGTGTGAGTGGGGAGAGTGTGAGTATGTGAGTGTGAGTGTGTAAGTGTGAGTATGTGAGTGTGAGTGTGTAAGTGTGAGTATGTGAGTGTGAGTGTGTGAGTGGGGAGAGTGTGAGAGAGTGTGTGAGAGTGTGAGTGTGAGAGTGTGTGTGAGTGTGTGAGAGTGAGAGTGTGAGTGTGAGAGAGTGAGTGGGGAGAGTGTGTGTGACTGAGTGTGAGAGTGTGAGTGTTAGAGTGAGAGTGTGAGTGGGGAGAGTGTGAGTATGTGAGTGTGAGTGTGAGAGTGTGACTGTGAGTGTGAGAGTGAGAGTGAGAGTGTGAGTGGGGAGAGTGTGAGTGTGAGAGTGTGAGTGTGAGTGTGAGAGTGTGAGAGTGAGAGTGTGAGAGAGTGAGTGGGAGTGTGAGAGTGAGAGTGTGAGTGGGGAGAATGTGAGTGTGAGAGTGAGAGTGGGGAGAGTGTGTGTGGGGAGAGTGAGAGTGAGAGTGTGAGAGAGTGAGTGGGGAGAGTGTGAGTGTGAGAGTGAGAGTGTGAGAGAGTGAGTGGGGAGAGTGTGAGTGTGAGAGTGTGAGTGTGAGTGTGAGAGTGAGAGTGAAAGTGTGAGAGAGTGAGTGGGGAGAGTGTGAGTGTGAGAGTGAGAGTGAGAGTGTGAGAGAGTGAGTGGGGAGAGTGTGAGTGTGAGAGTGAGAG